TCGTACAAAAAAATATTTTATGATAATTATAAAATAATCCAACTAGTGGTGCATGACATCGTACTCTGGAGCATATTGCTGGAACTTTCCCAAATTGTAGTTTGAATTTTTTATAAGATTGAGAGAAATCTTTAACTTAAATATACATTGGAATATTAAAGCCGGTCGTGTACCAAATAATATCAATAATTATTTTAATGCATATTTTCACTTACAAATATATCTCACTGTATATTTCAATCATTAATATTTTATTTTTGATCTTTAGTTCGTTTTGAACCTCTGGTATATATATTTTTAAAATTAGTTATAATTTGTAATTTAATTTTTTATGCCATTAGATATCAAGATATAAGTAGTAAAGTTATTTCAAAGTAGTTTCGTAGCAGCCAAGCTATCATTAGTTTTCATAAATCACTGATTTACTTATTTTACAACCGTTCTAAAAAATTAATATGAATTAATTAGCAAACTCATCTTATCCTTTGTGACTCATTTGTATATACACGAACACCATCAATTTAATATAAAAGTTTACATTTATGCAAAAATGTGCTATAAATTTTGTCACACTAAATTATCTTAATGGCTAATATAAATTTCCATCAATCTAGTAAAGACAAAAAAATATGTAACAATTTTTAAACAAAATTTAGAAAGATATAATTTATTATTAAAACCGTTCGAATTATTTGTATTTTTCACGTTTATTATTTTTTTATAAATAACTATAAACAAATAAACAAACTTAATTCATTACTACTAATTCAAAATTAAGTTTCTATAATTATGTCGTAACCGACTTTAATTTCAATGAAAAGTCCAATTAGAATAATTATAATAGCAAAGCTAAGACATGTTTTGTGGAGTTTACGAGGAAAATGGTTTTTGCTTTGGAGATAAAGGAGGTAGTGGTTTTACATGTTCCAATTATACGCTAAATATTATGGTAGAAAATTTAAATGCACTTCGGAAACCATTGAAAAACTATAATAACGCCCACAAATAAGCCAATTAAATAAAACACAAAAAATAAAATGAAGTATTTGGCAATAAACTTGGAAACATAAGGGTTATTGAACAGTTGATTGATAAGATACATTTTTTACTAATATTATTGTAATTTTTTTCTGAATGCAAATAATTACCCAACAAATATAAATAAGAGCAAAAATTGATGCTAATTTGTAAGGCATACAGACGCAATGATGATGAAAAAAAATTTTTGTTATATTTTTTGAAATTCTTACACACATATCTATATATATACATAGATATAATATATATATAATATAAATATAATATAGATATATACATATATATAATTTTATTTTTACGAAATATTTATTAATATATTTTTGAAATTCTACGTGGTTTGAGATATCCCTTTCTTCAGGATTTGTTAAAAACAAAATACTTTTTATTTTATCTAAACATTTTTTTAATTATTTTTATTTTTTAATTAAAAGTATAAAAAGCTATAAAAATTTGGGTACGAAATAAAAATATCACTAAAACCCTTAATTATTATATTAAATTACCCCCCGACTCATGCATATTAATCAAATTCATCTCTCTACATCTTTTTCATAATACTATATGCTGCGTTTGCTCATAATTTGAATATTGTAGCTGCCTTTTCAAAAGGATTAAATCTGTATCTCCATAAAGATTAAGATGTTTTAACTTCTGAGAGAGATACATTTCATTTCGAGAAGAACATATTAAAAGTCATGCCCGAAGATTATATTTACAATTTATTCATATGAGAAAAAATTAATCATATGGCATTTTTATTAACTTTCCATAAGATACAATAAAATACTGTAAAAAAATGCCATTTGCAGTCAAATATGATCATTAGACATATGGACATTATATTATCAGATATTTTACAGAGATTTTAATAATAACAACAAACTTTATTTACATCTGTTCCGTACCAATGCCTCCACGCAGCTAACACTTTAAAATTGCTTTAAAAAATCAAAAACATTCAAAATATTTCTATTTATAAAAATTTCTACTTTTTGTTCTCAAAAATCTAATTTATTCAAAGTTTAAAAAAACAATCTTTTTTAAAAAATTTGATATTTGGTACGGGATGTTCCAGTAATTTGGTTTAAGGCACGATGCCATGACCATGCACGATTTTGTTTTATTTACAACATACTATTTTTCCATTATAGCTTGTTTTTCATTTTGTATAATTTTCAACCTTTTTTATACATCAAGAATTATATGTTCTATGTCAAATTGGATCGATTTATTAATTCTTTTAAAACCCCGTTCATAGTTCCAAATGAGTCAAACTTTAAGACATTGATTTATGTGTTGTGATAAAAACCGATAAAATCTCTGCAACAATATATTTTATTAGACTTTTCCGTCAGATTGTTTCCAATTTGTGTTCAATTTTCCTGTTTTCCGACAAAAGGTCACGGCAACAGCAAACTTGAGTTGAATTTAATATTTTTACAATGATAGTTCGTTAATACACTATGTCATATATGGAGCAACGCAATATGAGATAAAAGTCGGGGAACCTAATTTAATGTGAAATGTAAAACGTGAAATGTGGAATATGTCGCATAGAATGCAGAATTCTGACGTTTTTCATTTTTATTATCTTCTTTTGAGTGCGGAAAGAACATAATATGGAGAGTTATTTAAAAAAACTTTCCCCAGGGCAGAACGACTTTATTGCTTTTAATAGTAAAGACTGGTAATTTCATAATCATCGCCTTGAATAGTATCGTAAAAAGTTTGAAAATTATTATTTTTATCTGAAAAATTTCATATCGAACGTTTACTTAGAGATCTATATAATAAAGAAAAATAATGATAAAATTATACGATATGCAGTGAGTGCTCCTATTGTTGTTCTGGTGAAGTAACATTTTGCCTTAAGGCGAGTTGCATAAACTTCCCGATACGTACAAATAATCAATTTAATCAATAAGAACTGGGATTTAGGTAAAAATAGTTCAACTGCTAATTCCAAAAATACAATTATTGCTTTTACTGCAAATAATCAATGCGATTTCCAATTCTTACTTCAAATATTTGTGATTGTTAAATCAAATTAATTTATTTAAAATAATTTATTTTATTCGTCTCGTATTCTAAAAACATATTTTATCTAACTATGGACGTAGTCTGTAATCAGTATGTACCTATCAAAAACCACAGAAGGTGCATATGCTTTGGCATAGATTTTGCTTAAAATCCTTGAAACGAAACTCTCAACTTTGATGATTTTATAATTTAGCCGCTTACCGTAGGCCTATAATATTTTAGAATGTAATTTCAAGTTACGACAACTATCGTCATACTAAGTTTCATAAAAATCATCAAAAACATGTTTTTTAGCATTTAATTACGAAGAAACGGCCCAGCCAATCTTCACTTGCCAATGCCTTTCGGATAGTCTTTGTATTTTTAAATTTCAAAATTGTGTGCTAAACCTTAAACCACAAACAAAGCTAATTTTGCACTATACTAATTACAAAGAAATCCCAGTTATATCGAATGGTTTTCAAATTTGTGAGATTAGTCCAGCTGTTTTGGAGAAACGTCGATGGAAGGTCGAATGATGAGTCACATAAATAAGTGCATATATACTTCTTCCAAATTTAGTTTAGTTTTTTCAATGTCGAGAAAATTAATTTAATAAATCGTATTTTCTGGCAAAATACCTTAACTTCTCCTTCGGGAAGTTAATGATCTAAGATCTAAACTGCCTTGATTCCGTTTTCAAGATTATTGATGCCAATGATTCCAATATATTTGAAAAAAAAAATAATGAACATGATTTGAATAATATAAAAATAAATTTAGAAGTAGTGTAGGACATTTTGAACAAATTTCTAATATTTTTACTAGTTTGTAAAATCAGTTATTTCAAATTTTGAAATCGTTGTTAAACAGACTTTGTCACCTGTTAAATAAGCATTAATGTTCTCTTTAAGTTTTCCCTTTTTCTTTCTAAAACTAGATATCTCATTCGTCATATAGGATCCCATTATTTTTATTATTTCCTTTTCATTATGATGACGTTGCAAGAAACTTGATCCAGGAAAAATGACACATCAGCAAAACAGACATATAAATGATTGGGAAATATAAGAAAACCACCTATTTCCTTTACCACATTGAAGTGTATTCTCACATCGCCAAGATACCCATATATATGTGTATATATATATATATATATATATATAATAAGATAAGATAATTATATATATATATATATATTTATATTAATCTCAATTGCCCGTTGCAGATAATGAAATTTTTTTTAAGAGTATCAAAAAATTAATAAAACAATTATAAATTTTTGGAAAAAATACTAATAGCATTTGTTTGAAAACTTAGACTTAATTCGATATATATATATATATATATATATATATATATAAATGTATATATATATATATATATATCGTTTTCCTAAGGGGCAACAACTACTTTTCCGTGTTCTTCATGAATAATATAGAGTCCCAATCTAGTAGTATATTTACTTTTCAACCCCCTGATAAATATTTTATTGATACACTATCTATTTGTAAGACATCTTTACAGTCAAATCCATAAAATTAATAGCATTTGTGTCAGCAGAATAAATATAAAAATGTTGGAAACTAATAGTTTTTTTTATTAAACAGCTTAAAGTATATTGGCGTTAATTGTGCACGAAATGAATAGAAGATAAATAAAATATGATAATTGTTATCATTACCTAAAAATGAATAATGTGCAATATTATGTAATGACTTTTGTGACGTTGTAAAAATCAAAATGAAGCAATAATACTAAATAAAAATATCTATGAATATTTAGAACATAATGATTTACTAGACGCTTTGGTATAGTACAGATATGGTTGCTAAATTTTATTATTGTAGATTGTCTATAAAAATGTGGGTTATTGTATATATTACTCAACACTTATTGCCCATTTAATTTTTATAATTATTATAAAAAAATTATATCCTTACCGTGCAAACAGCTGGAAAAACTTTTGAGGTCGGCAGAGTTGCATGATCTAGGCCTAAAAGAACGACTGCTCCATACACTAAAATGCAGCCAACTGCTGTCATATTGCTTAGACGAGGACTAGATAGTTTGATTGATCTGAAAATATTATAAAAAATATTATAAATAATAATAAATAAATAGGCCCACAATAATATCATTTATAAGCAACAATGTATCTTGATAGATACAGAATTCTAATTTAGAAAGACGATTGAATAATTCACAACAATTGAAAAGGTATGTCAAAATATAGTTTCATATTTTGTGGCAAAAATCATTATCAAGGTGCTTCATAATTATGTACTTTGGTAGGTACATAATTCTAATTTAGAAAGACGATTGAATAATTCATACAAATTGAAGGTATGCCAAAATATAGTTTCATATTTTGTGACAAAAACCATTATTAAGGTGCTTCATAATTATGTATTTTACAATTATGTACTTTATCACTACTAATCAGAGCAATATTCTCTGTACTAATATCTGAAGATACATTTACTAAATATCTAAATATAATGACGCATAGAACCTAACCTCCAAAAGGCACAAACGTCAGACTTCACCCTTGTGTTATCAAAGTGACATCAACAGAAAGTTGCATTTATGATAAAATTGTCATTTGATATTGGAACCATTTGGAGTTTAGGTTTTATGTGTTAAAAGCTCTTCTGTTAAAAGAACACCAAAGACCAAGCATTTTCACAGTTTGTGATTTGCATAACTATTTAACATATAAGGCCCATAATGAAATATTTTTATTTTATGCGAAAATTAGACCCTCAATGCATAATAATAATACTATTTAAGGCAGATTAAAATTCTTTAGTATTAGCACAAATATCCAAAACCTATAATATAAAATTTAATCCATTTGTATTTCTGGATAAAATTTTAATCTAATTAATTACATAATGATGCATTTACATAATGATTAATTACATTATTGGCAATTAAACAAAAGTGAAATACGAATATATTCATAATTAACGCAGATATACCTATATGTTTATATAGCAGAAATGCATTAGTCAGAACTAAATTCATATATTGCAAAAGCGAAAATTAATTATAGTAAAAATTATATTTGTATTGTAATTATAATAATATATCGTAGTTTTTATAGCATAAAAGTTCCTAAAACTTACATGAATGTAAAATGCACATGTACAACACAACGTGTAATAGACTAATATAAAGTTTGGAATACATAAGGTGTGACTTTGGCAATGATTCATTTGGAATAAACTTCCTTTTTAATCTGACCCGGAGAGATCTTTGGGAAGTGAGTTTGGGTGATCTTTGAGATGGCTTTGTTTTTGCTTATTTAAAAACACGACATTATGATAATCCTCTACATAACTAGGGAATGATTCGAAAAGCTTTAATTAACACTTAAATTGGAATATTGCAAATCATGGGTATTTATGGTTAACGGTTAAGCTCACGGATCGTTTACACGAGACTCTGGACAACCTGACATCGTGTAGAAGCGATGTTCATTTTCACTTAAGATCAAAAATGTTTCTAATTGATAATAGCCCATTTCGGGCATCGTTGTATGAAATGCAATAAAAAATCGCACCAAAATTCTTCTTAATTCAAATTTGGAGATTAACTCAGCTCACGGACTGCCTGCCCTAGGGCAGTCCTATACCCATAATTATTATCGCAAGTATGTGCAAATAATCATCACGTAGTGACAAATGAAATAATAATTAGTAAAAAATGTTTTATTCACTATTTTATAAAACAATTGAGCATTTCATTTCTGTAGTGGGTAACAATAGTACCATTCAGTAGTCAAATGTTGTTCCATAACCAGTTATGTGTGTGGTATGTACATTTTACATAGTTTAAACAACGCAGCTTTATGCGATACGTTTAATATACTCCGTGTTCCTGCATACCTCAATTTATATTAATACATTATTTCGTGTTTGCCATATATTCATAATATCAACTAGCTCCCACGTGCCATTCGAATTTTACTCTTACATGTAGGTACGCGCTTATATTCATTATCCCCATAACGGAACAATGCGTGCGAAATGCATTAGCTGAACACAGAGAAGGCGAAATGAAATAATATAATTAATGAAATGTTAATTCATCAAAAGATCACCTTTGATATAGCACACACAGGCACTAATAACAGAGCTCCTTTATGACGAGGCAGGAGGAAAGTGATTCCAAATTGTGGTGCAAAGCCAATTTCGAGATTTTAACACCAACGTAA